CCCTATCAAGCCTGACTAGAACAACTTCCTGGAAGGCTAATAGGTGCTCAACATAAAGTAGCTATTATTACAGTCATTACAATTAATATTTACCCAGAGAATTTGAGCATAGGGGTGGGTTGGACCAGCTGATCTTTAAAATTCCTTTGAGCCCCAGGCTCTCACTCAGAGAGCCCCCAAGTGTAATGCTTCCCTTCTTTGTAGTGATCTTGCCGTCTCGGCTCCACTGCCCTTCACTGCTGTCTCTTCAATCTTTCCACCTCACCAATTCAAAATACTTTCCTAACACATGACAATAACGTGAAAATAGCAAAAATCAAGTCCCAAGTTTCTGTCAAACCACCTAATCATAAAACTGCCAAAGTCAAATGCAGAAAGTCTGTTGATTAAAATTCCCTGTTATAACAATAAACACCTGACCCCGAGCTTCAGCAGATGGCTGGGAGTGACATCAGTCCTCCTGACTCCGGACCTAAGTGATCTTCCAGAAATGCCTCCTGAAACTGTGGCCTTTCCTGGGCCTCCATAGTGGCTGTCCCAGCACCACTGGAGGCTGGCTGGGTAGGCCTGAGCTAATTGTTTTTCCTGTCAACGGACCAAGATGAGATAAAGCCCAGCCAGATAGAAGCCCAAGGAGCAATCTGTGACACCAACGTGTAAATCCTTTGGAGAGGAATAAAAGCATGAGAGTAGTTCGTGCCCAGAGTCCAAGTATAGCCAGAGATGTCCCAGCGGAACATTGCCATGCATACTCAACCCCACCTCCCCATGCTGTTCCTTCTAAGCCACTGGTTGTGCAACAGGCACACCTTGTGTTAAAGTACAACATACTTATTCAGAAAACATTCGTTTGACACCAACTATGTGTTACAGATCTGTACACATACCTGTATGCCATAAACATATGGCTGCACATGATTACCAGGCCCCGCAAAGATACCCAGACACACACCTTCCGCAAACATGGCACATACACGCACAGACACAAACACACGTGCAAACTCATAGCAGTGTAACATGCACATGTATGAAGTCGTAAGAAAACATGCATATTGCATTAGAGCCTTGGTGCAAGGGACAGAAACCCAACTCACACTGGCTTTCATTAAGAGGGGACTAATGAAAGAATTCAAGAATTCAGCTGGGCCTCAAGAACAACCAAACTCAGAACCATGAACTTCACCAAGTTCATCACCTACTTTGGCCTCTCTTTCTCTGGACTATTTCTCTCTGTGGTGGCTTCTCACAAAAGCTCGTGTGTAGCTAACTGTGGGAAATAAGTTGTTTCTCCATGTATGGGAAACAGGGTACACATTCCTAACCTCGGACCACAGATCACAGTAGATAGAAATGACACAAGTGTTTTCTGGTTCCAAGACCAAAAGTCCAAGGGATGTGACAAGTGATCCCAGGCCCCTTTGTTTGAGTTAGCCAAGGGTAGGTTATGCTGCGGTAACAAACACAACACAACACAACACAACAAAACGCCAAGGTCTCCATGGTATGCTCCCAGAAGGTTTATGTCTTACTTGTGTTATATATTTATCACAGGTTGGCTGTGGCTCTGCTCCCTGGTATTTCCTTTCTGAGCCTCAGGGTGACAAAACAGCCTTTCTCTGCATGTCACATGGCCGAGGGAAGGGAGGGGGAGAGGTGGCAAGCCATGCAAAGTCTCTTAGAACCAAGTGTGGTATGGGTTACCTGAGATCTCATGCCATTGGCCAAAAGAGGTCATTCAGCCATTCCTGACATCAGAAGGGGGAAAGGAGACACTGAACGCTTTGAACAGTTACCCAATCTATCGCACTGTCTCCTGACCATCCGTGACCTTGTGAGTGGAATTGACTCATCCCTTGACAGATTAAATTGAGCCAGGAGGCAGGACCTGGTTGTGCTTCTGCGGTGGCTCCAGCAGTAATACTCTGAATAAGGAGTAATGCTGTGAATAAATTGTCCCAACTGGGGATCGCTGGGCAGATAACATCGTTGTGCTATAACGATATCTTGGATGAGCTAATGTGTAGACATGGGCTCAGGCCAACAAAGTCACATGGCACACACAGGCACACACACAACTCCCATACACGGATATGGGCACACATCTGCAGACTTAGGAACACACACGAACCCGTAGCGGTACCTGCGTGTGCACACATACGTGCACCATGCACATGTTGAGGTCCAGTCTGCCCTCATTTACATGTTAACCCAAACCCACATGCCACCCTCAGGCCCACATGCACACTCCAGCTCAGCAGGGAGTGGCTGCTTCTGCCGCTGGAGAGATCAAAGGCAGCTGCTCCGTCTGCATATTTAAGGAGCCCCTGCTGCTTCCCTGTAGCTCTCAGCTGAGCCCCCTGACTAGGCAAAGCCCCACTCTGGGAAATACCCCCCCCCCCCCAACTCCGCCCCAGGAGAAAGGCTTGGAATCTAATCACTTCCTTCCCCAAGCCTTTTAGGAAGGACCCAGAAAGAAATCCTGGGTAGCATGGAAGAACAGCCCGGCGCCCATCTCCAGAGGTCAGTGCTAAAGCCAGGACTATCAGACAGAACAGACAGCCCTCCGGGGACAGCCAGGCTCAGTCCCAGGGAAGGAAAGACTGACATTGCCCCTTCACGGAGAACTTGAATTTCCTTTTGAGGAACACTCACGCTGCCCAGACTCGATGTTGGATTCGGGTCTTTGTGAAAAAGTCCCAGACAGGGAGCTGAACCCCAGGGCATAGTACTGGCTTTGCCACAGATGCATTTGGACCAGTCACTTTCCCCTTTGGCCTTCGGCTTTCTGGAAAAGCAGAAATTTAGAGCTACTGGAAACCATCCAATCCAGGAATGACAAACACCTGGCACACCTACCATTGCCCAACCCCTTCCACACCATGGGAGACATCTCTAGCCCACCACAGTACCACGTGAGCCTAGCCCACATGCAGCCTTGGAATACGTTTGTGCAAAATACTCTTTGTCGAGATACTAATTCATAAGGTAGACTCGTGAAAGGAGACCTATCACCAGCCCTGATCTAACCCTAGGACTTCACCGAGTAAAGGAAGAAAACACAGGAAAAAACTCTTCTCCTAATCTCCCAGAAGCAAATTAGGAGGCGAAAACAGGTGAAGCCGCAGCCCCTGCCGCCCCTTCCTCACCCATCCAGGTTTCATCCAAAGAAGGCAAGTGGTTTTCATCTCGTTTGCAACCTCTGATCAATTGGCAAGAGTCGAACAAAACACCACGTGGAGAAGACTTCGGACTCAGTAGGAAAGGGTATCATGATCAATTACCAACATCTGCCGTCAGGACAGGTGTGCAGAGCCAGCACCAAGCCTCATTCTAAGTTAAGCCACGTTTATAGTGAGGGTGAATGATGCACAGTGCTACACACGCGAGATGATGATCCTGACCTGCCCATAAGAGGAAATACGCTTCTGCCCAAGAGCGGAGATGTTTTGGTTGAGCCTCGGGAGACATGTAGGAGCCTGTTTAAAATGCCACTGCTGTGTGATAAGTGATGGGGAAAAAAAGAGGCGCAGTAGGTAGGGAGATGGGTGAAATGTGTTGAAACAAACGAACAAAAAAGCCACTGCCACGGAGGAGAGAAGTCCTAGGTTCAGGAGGCAACCAGCACTCCCTACTTAGGACCCTGCAAAAGTACGTTGCTGTTGCTGATTCCTTTTGCCCACAAGAGAAAAAACGGACCTAGTATCCCTACTGTATGGCTCCTTTATCGAAAATAGCACCAAAACAAACACACTTCCATAATGATAATTTATTGAACACCTACTATATGTCAGGCACTATGCTTGGCTTTTTACGCAAAGTGGATCTAATTCTCTCAACGTTGCTGCAAGCTAGATTGTGTATTCCCACTTTGCAGATAAAGAAATGAACACTTGGAGAAGCTATGTGACTTGCCCAGTACCATTCAGGCAGCAAAACGGTTGGATCTGAGCCCATATCTGGCTGACACCAAAGCCTCCCCTCTTTGTACTAGATAAGTTTTGAATCAAAATAAAAGCAAACATGAGCTCTGTAAGAATTGCACATAGCTTTGGGATGGGGGAGGAACCAATGGGATATTGGTACCCAAATCTGATGGCATTTCTCTCATCCCTCACTTCTTAAATTGTGCATCTTCTTGTCTATCAAATTCAAAGCCAGCGCATGGGTGCTGCTCAGATTTCCAGGTTTTGGCAAACAGATGCTGTGAAAATTTTATTTACACTTCTGAATGCTCTATAAAGACTTTTATTCTCTTTTATTTTTTTCACCACAAAAGCCTTAAGCCACCAATGAAGAAGATGTAAAAAATACAAATAAACATACAGAAAAAATAAGAAATACTCCTAATTTCATAATCTATCCCCCAGAAATAGACATTGTTAATACTTTAGGATATAGAAATTCCTTTATTTGTACTCCAAGACCCACAGTAGATGCACTGAAACCACAGACAGTACCAAACCCTATATATACTTATATACGATACATACATACATACTTACTATGCATACATACCTACTTACGATAATGTTTTTTAATGTTTATTTATTTTTGAGAGAGAGAAAGAGAGAATGGGGGGTGGAGGGGCAGAGAGAGAGGGAGGCAGAGAATCCGAAGCAGGCTCCAGGCTCTGAGTTGTCAGCACAGAACCCGATGCAGGGCTCGAACTCACGAACTGTGAGATCATGATCTGAGCTGAAGTTGGACGCTTAACCGACTGAGCCACCCAGGCGCCCCAGATAATGTTTAATTTATAAAGTAGGCACAGTCAGAGATTCACAAAAGTAAATAAATAATAAAATAGAACAATCACAGTAATATACTGTAATAAGTTATGTGAACATGGTCCCTTTCTCAACATATCTTATTGTATTGTTCCCACCCTTCTTATGAAGCTATGAGAGGATAAAATGCCTACATGATTGAGGTGAATGACGTAGGCATTATGACATAGCATTAGGTGACTATTGACATTCCGACTATGGGTGAGAAGGAGGATCATCTGCTTCCGAACCAAGATGGACCACAGGTAACTGACACCCATGGGAAGGGAAACTGTGGATAAGGAGAGTGACTGTATAACCTTGCAGAAGTTTTCTGTATAACTTTGTTTACATGGTGAATCCACACTGCAATACAATCTATTTTATTATCTGCCTTTTCCTCCACGATATCTCATGTTATTCATCTACTACATCATTTGAACTTACCGGTTAATAGTGCAGTGTGTGGATGTATTATATTTCATTTAACCAATAACTGTTATTGTATATTTAGGTTCTTTCCAATTAAATGTTATCATCATAAAAATATGATAGCTAAATCTTTGAATATCTTTATGGTTGGTAATTTCCTTAGAATAAATTCCCAGAATCTGAGGGTCAAATATATGAATGTTTTGTTACCTAATCCAAATTGCCCCCCAGAAAAATGTATATCAGTTTTCCAATTCTACCAGCTTCTCCAGACCTTTACCAATACTGGACATTTCTGTTTTAAATCTTTGACTGCTTCCTAACACTTGTGAACATGAAAACAGAGCAATGCACTTTGGAGGGGCCCCATGGGGCACCCAAGGGTCACAGGCCGTGACTGTGAAAATGGATATGTTGATTTATTTAAGTGGACATGTGTTAGCATCACTTGAAAAGAAGGCATCAATATACCATATCATGTGATGATACTCCACCACACAATAGCACTACATAGACCCGGATATTACATACTGTGGAGTGCTGTCTCCCCAGCTGGAGAGCAGGGGACAAGACCTAAACCATATTTGTCTCTGCAACCTTCCAGGCCCTAGTGCAGAGACCTGTGCTCAGGTGATATCTCTGAATCTATTCTCTTCATTTCTGTCAATGGCAAGGTCATTGGAGGGTAAAGCATCCAGCCTGAGGTTCCCCGAGAAAAACTAGAAAGAGAGATGGCTTGGCCTAGGAGAGCAGGCATAGCGTTTGGATTTAGGAGTTCTAAGTTCATGTCTTGGGTCCTCTGGTTGTTTGTGGCAAATTCCTTAACCTCTCTAAATCTACTTGCCTATTCTGGAAAAAAAAAAAAAAAAAGACATCAATACTGATTCCACAAGGCCCAGGTTAATTAATTAACGAGATAATACAAGTAAGGAGGCCTTGCAAATGGCAGCACTGTACTGATGTTCCTTGGACCATCATCATATCAAACACTTGGAGTTGTCGTATGGATGTCCCTCACCAGGGCAAAAATGCAAATTCAGAATTAATTGCTACAAGCTTTTCTCTACCTTCTAAAGATCCCAATAAATGTTCATGGTTAGGATGTTCGTGCAGACACATCTGAGTTGGAATCCAGGCTTTACTACTCATTGGGTTTATGATCTTGGGAAAGCAAACTAAATATTCTGAATCTCAAGTCTCCTGGACTATAAAATGTGGATGATAACAATGCCAACTTCACAATGGAAATAATATACCCAGTGTGAGGACCAAAGGAGATAATATATACATAAGTGCCTGGCCCAGGCTGGAGGTACAGCAGGAACTCAAGAAATACTTCCTTTTCTCCAACAACTGTGGGTAGGACTCCCCTATAAGTCAACTTCAGCCTTCTATCTGTCATTTTTTGTTGTGTAACGTATCACCACAAACATATCGTCTTTAAAAAGCAGCCATTCATTTAGCTCAAAATTCCATGGGTCACCACTCAGGCTGGGATCTGCTGGATGGTTCTTCCAGGGACCCATGGGGCTCATCCACACGAGCAGTGAGTGGCCTCACTCACATGTCTGGCAATTGGCTGTATATCAGTAGGGGCAAAGAATGTAACTGGGCCACCGGTCTCATCTTCTCACAGGCTGTTTGGGGCTCCCACACATGAGAGTAAGTGCATATTTCCAAAAGTAGCAAGAGGGCAAGTCACCGTGCACAAGTTTGTTAATGCCTGTGTGGCCAAAGCCAGACACATGGCCAATCCCAGATTCAAATGGTAGAGAAACAGACTTCACCTTTGCACGGAAGAACCTCCGACGTCACATTGCATGGGTGCGTACATACTGGGATGGGAAGAATCGTGGCCATTTTTACAGCTGCCTCAGAAGTGAGGGCTCCTTCCGTGGCTGTCTGTACCCTATGGCATTGCTCACACAAAAAGTAAATCCCCTCCGTGAATGTCAAAAAGTCTTCCATAACTTTGCCAGCATTCCCGCAAATCAGAGCCACGATGGTGCCATGATCTCCAGCCTAGAAGCTTGCAAGCAGGAGACAGAGACAAAAGAACAAATGCTTAAATTATCTGATGAATGTCAGATACATTAAACTAATTTATGTAATAATGTAAGCACAGTGATGGGAAGGTAATATGAGAGACATAAATTATACATTATTATTGTCAGTTCTAGCACTTATCTTAGTAGTGTGTCAAAATACATCCTGATACGTTAACATTTATAGAAATGAACAACAAGTGCTTGTGCTCAGGGATCTGGCAGTGAGAAGCTGGATGTCATTTGCATGTATGCACCCAGCCATCGTTGTCTTTCCAGGGAATGATAAGGTAAAAAAAGAGGGCGCCCAATGTTCTTGGCTCCCTTAGAGGGCCTTGGGCTCAAATCCGCCCGCCCCGGGCATGCATTTCAGAGTATGGCCAGCATGGAAAGCCATGGCCGAGCATGGTCTTGGGATCAGACTGACAAGCTTCTGGCTCTTTAATCCAAGTTGTCTCATCTCTCCAAACCAAAGTTTTCACATCTGTGAAATGGGAATGATAATTTTATCTTCAAAAGATCGCCATAAGGACAAAATGATAATATTTTGTTTTTCTTCTCACTGAGGTACCTCTTGGGTAATGGCAATAAGAGATGTATTGTTAAACAATGTTAAACATTGGGATTCCGAAGGAAAACCGTCCTCCTTGTCTGGAGCACAGTTAACAACTGCCCGACCATAGTTTTGTTATTGTCTTTCCATCCGTAAGATACTGTCTGATGTCCCCCTTTCCCTGTTGTGTAATGGCCAAACTATAATTCTCTTGCCCAGAGTATAACACCAGAGTGTAACACTAGTAGTAACCTCCTAGAGCTGGTGAGTTCTGCAGAGAACTGTGGATTAATCTTGGACACGTCCGGGGACTGGCCTCTAAGGCTGGTAAGATTCAGGGTCTGAATGACTCAGAAGTGTCCAGACATTAAAGGAGCCCATAAGCAGGACAACTCCTACAGGGAAATAAGGCCCTGGGGAGGGGAACCCAGCATACAGGGTCAGGCAGGTGGGCAACCATCCTCTGGGGTGATGACCCGAGGATGATGGCCCATCCCAAGGGAGTCAAGGGTAGACCTCCATCTGAGCCAAAGCCAAGCTCTGAGCACAGACAACCCCAGGGGAGGGGAACTGAGTGAAAGAGCAGACAGAAGCTTTGTAGAGAGCTCCAGAGGGAGCACCATGTACAGCCCACAGAAGCTTATCATGTCTACCCACTAGAGGTGAACCAAAGCCGTTTCAGTCCTGCCTGCCCAGTGTGCCTCTGGTCTTGATGCATAGGCAGGCTGAATCTACAGCAGGGACTCAAGGGCACTAAGCCCAGAAGTGGGAAGCTGGAGAAGAAGAATCTAGAGGTGGGGGAGCAGCGATGGCCCCGGACCCCTGAAATCCATCTCCTTTCCTTTCTCCTTCCTTAAGAGCCCCACTGCCTGGCCCTACTATTCTTTCCACGGTTCAAACTCAGGGAAGTCCAGGTTCCCTTCTACACCTCTACTTCTCCATTCTGAACAGATGCCAAAAGTCCTGGCCACTTAGTCCATTCTCCTTCTGGACCAGCTGCCTCCCCAGGCTGGGACCAGGCCAAGGCAGGCAAGAAGCCCGAAGCGCAACATATAAGAAGGTGCTCTCCTTGGGTTTGTGCAGCTGCAGGCCCAGCACCTAAGGGAGTACCTTCTTCAGTAATGCATGCTGGCTTCTTGCCGCACCCTGGTCCTGGCCCTAGCATCCACCCCCAGGCCTGTGTGTATAATCCTGGGGTGGCTACAGTGAACATACCTGGAGGGCAATCTTCAGGGACACAGCTTGCTCTGCCCCAACAGGCCACGCTGGGAAGAGGAGAGCTACCCAGATCCCTGGTGGATAAGAACACCTTCTCTTGGCCTCTTATAGACCCTGGGGAAATAGGCAGAGATATTTATGTATATCCAGTCCTCCTCCTCCCCTATCTGGGAGGCCCCCATGGCAACTCCATCACCCATGGAATAACAACCGACATCCTCAACTTGGCGTTCAAGGTCATTGCCTGTTCTACCTTTTAGTACACTCTGCTGTGACCACTTACGGTATAGCTGGACTGGATGGTGAGCATCTCCAGGGCAAACATTACCTCCCCTCCCAGTGCCCGGCACATAGATACCTGATGAATTACTGGGTACCTGTTCTGTGCAGATGCTGTGTCGGTACAGAAATCACCACGGACCAAGGCCCTGCTTTCTTGGAGCTTATGCTCTGGTTGGGAGATACAAACAACATACAAATTAAATACATAATACACCACATGATACATATGCTAAGAAGAAAACAGAGCCTGGCAAAGAGACAGTGAGACAGGGTGAGGGATGCTGTTTTAAATATAATGCTCCTATTGGTAGAGAGGAGACCCCCTTTTGTTGAATGTATTCTGGTTGGTGCAGCCAGACCAACGCATGACATTCAGCTACAGCAGGTAGCAGGTAGCAGGTGTCGGCAACAACAACCCCAGGCCAAGGATGGCCCCCATCTCCTGTTCTTGTACGTGAAGTTTTATTGGAACATAGCAATTCCCATTTATTTACCTATTGTCTATGACTGTTTTCAGACTACAATGGCAGAGTTGCACAGTGGTGACAGAAACCGTATGTCTTTTGCAGAAAAAGTTTGCTGACCTCTGAATTAGAGACTCACGCAATACAATGCATCATCAGTTGCAGATTGCCATGTGAACAGACCCTAAATTCTATGGTAATGACTCTGTGTCATTCCCTTCCTCTGCAATAGGGATAGTGCTTTCTTAGACTCAATTTTCCTAGGCACTGTGTTGGTACATGGACGCAGATCCCTCAGTTCCCGAGGGGGCGAGAAGGTGGAGGTGCCCAGAAAGCAGGCTTCAGCTGGTAGGGATGCCAATTCTCTTTTCATCTGATGTACAACCCCCCCCGACACCCAACCAGCGATATCATTTTCCCCATCTCCCTGCAAAGCCAAGCAACTTTGCCCACCCATTTGCCATTCGACAAAGTCTTTTAAACAGATGACTTTTAATAAGTTAATCCATTCATTGTCTGGAGCTCTGAAAACTGACATAAAAGCACAATGACGCCTAATTAAACTTGTTCTGTGAAAACTAATTTGTCAAACCCAGAAGCACAGTTCATAGATAAATGCTAATATTTGAAAGTCAAATTAAAGTTGAAAAGGTTTGTAATAACAGTTAATTAACTCTTGTTTTGTTTTCCTTCACTGCAAACTGGAACCAACTGCATTGCGGGCGCCTCTTTAACATTTTGGACCACAAAGATAAAATTCAAAGCTTTGAGATACGCCTTTGATGTTGGTATTCTCTGCAGATTCGATATTATTTTAAGTCTCTTTGTTTAAAAATTCATTTTTATTATCCCTGCATGAAATGCATGGCAATTCCCCAAATAACGAGCCATCAGTGCAATTAACATCGTCGATCGACACCAGCGTCCTGATAATTAATACAGACGCGCTGCCTCCCCAGCGAGAACTGTGAGGGCTTGATTTTTCAGAGCAACTGTTCATTTACAGACTCAGCTTCAACCTAATGAAAATGGATTGTGAAACTTTAATGAACAAGACTTTGCTGTCATAATAATAAAGACTTTGAAACAACGCGGAGGCCTCCATAGCAAGCGTCTGGCGCCGTGCTTGTTGCTACGGTACGTCAAACCAATTAAGCCGTATGATGAATATTTACACCGAGGTTTTTTTCAACTCTATGACATAAGATAAACTCGTAAAAGTGAGCATTAATTCTGCATCAACAGCTTCTGACATTACATCGCAGCAAAGATGCATCCGCCCAGCCAAAAGGCTGCGTCTGCCCACCTCTGTTTTGTCTTAATAAATGTCAACAAAGGATTAGAATGCTCCGAAAATCCAATTTGCATGCACAGGTTGTGAATACAAGTGCAAAGAAAATATCTTCCTTGAGGTGCGTGCGTGTGTGTGTGTGTGTGTGTGTGGCTGGTGGGTATGTGTATAATAGTACCCAGGTGGGCCTGATCCGTATGTTTGCATCTCTGTGCCTGGGGGAGTGTGTGTCTGCCTTATACACATGGATGTGGGGGGGGGGGGGGAGTGGAGGAAGGTGTAACAGTGCATAAACTTGTTTGTGCCTATGTCATATTTGTGTACACACATCTCTGAGAATGTACATATTGGGATGATTTTGTGGGTTTGTTTGGGTTTCTATGACTATTCCTTGTATCCACTCAATGATTTTTATTAAGCATCTGTGATACTAGACAATGTGAAGTTACAGTGGTTACAACATCTTTCAAAGGCATCTTTACTCAGAGAACTATGGTCTGGTGGGGGACTCTACACATCCATTAGTATCCAATCACAATAAAGCACGTCAAGTGCTAAGATGGGAGAAGGGAAGAGTATGTTGGGTGCAAATAGCAAAGGCACAGAAGACAAATTAAGAGAAATTAGGAGAGACTTTCTGGAAGAAGGGGAACTTAAACCGGACTCGAAGATAAGAAGTTAGCCAGGCAAAGACAGGGAGCCAGATGAAGAAAACACATCTGGGGACTTTGTGTATAAATATGTACTGCACTTATGGCAGCTGGATTTTGTCTAGGGTCTGTGTGCCTGCACCTGTGTGTGTGCTCGGAGAAACACACGGACGCATGTACCTCTGTATGTCCAGGCCTCAGTGTCTGAGAATCCTAGCACTCCGTGGGGCAGGAAATATCTCAAAACCAGACACCGTTCCTCTGGATTAGAATGATGCAACACGAGAGCAAAGGGCCATGACTTTGGAAGGCTCAGGATTCAGTGACTCTGGATTCAAAAGATCTGTTACCCCCATTTCTACTCTCACCCGAATTCGTAAGTCAAGCTGTCACGTACCCAGGACTGCCTGAGCTTTGTATTTACAGATGCACGGGACTTCCCAGAGGCTAATGGAAGATGGAGTTACCCCCTGATTTCACAAGCACAGTCGCATAGCAATTTTCAGGTTGGGGATTTCCAAACAACCTTATCCTAGAAGGAAGAGTATCAGCCATAGGTGAGTCAACCATATTACAGTAACTTCTGAATCTAGCTGTATTTCAGCCATACACAATTGTGCACATGGGTATGGATACGAAAGCACAACTTCTGACACTACTGAGGTTAAAATAAAAATTCAAGAAGCTAACGCTTCGCCACAGCTGCCCCTGTGCTTCTGAGACAAGCTGTATCCAGGCAGTGCAAGACTCCGCAGTTTGTTTTCCACTTGGACAATAGGTCATAACTTACACTATGTGCATCCAGAGCACATCCGGTTTCAAGGGGAAAAGCAATCTAGATGGGAGCTGGCCCAAAGAGCTGTCACAAACCCATGTACTTTATCCATGGGGAACCCCCTGTCTGGCATTTGGAAACTCATTTTACTCACAAAATTCCTGGACGTTCTGTTCCCAAACTTCTACTACTACTGCCTAGGCAGTCAACTAAAACTGTAAAGAAAGCTACTATTCACAGACGCCTCACCAATCACGATGACGTCGAAGTTTGTTCTGACTCCATTCATCATGGGGGCAAACAGTCCCACCCATTTTCCCAGGGGCATGTCTGAGCACTGGTTGGTGTTCCTAATGAACGACTTCAAGTCCCCAAGACAAGGTTAAATTGTACTGTTTCCTCGGGTGAAGAAAGATACAAAGATCTGCAGTTAAATAATTTTTTAAGGCTTTGAATAGTTCAAGGTTAGCCCTTGGCCATCCCGAAAGTTTAACTCTCCAGGTTCAGAATCACAAGCATATACTGAGTGCCAAGTAGGCATTAGGCTAGATATTTCCACTAGTTGATCTCATAGAGATCAAAATCCTAAGAAGCAGAATTTATTGCCCCTATTTTAGAGATGAGAACATTGAGGCAGGGAGGAGTTGGGTTGTAAAGGGCAGGGATACTTCTTTTGGTTCTCCTTCTACTTCTAAATACTTCATCCGGAGACATGAGGTCTTACAACAGATGCTTACAATGTCCCCGTACATGAATCAACAGGCAATGCCATCACTGTTTGGAGGGCTCTCTTCCCTTTGCATTTATCCAAATCCTCTGTCAGCATCATGGTCCCAGTTTGGCCTCCCTTTGAGGAACAACAGAAATAGGTACTTCTTGAGGAAAGATATTAGTTTACTTGGAGTGACACGTCGGAGGACACAGAACCCCTTGACACACCTAAAGGGCTCGAGGAAAGGAAAGTGACATTTGTGCTTTCCCCTGTGTTCTCTCATTTAGTCTGAACCACCTCCTTGTAAATATGTGCATGTATAAAGCACATATTACAGAATTCATCTATGCTGTGCCAGTCACCGCACAAGCATTATCTCTACTATTCATGATGCAGCAAGTGGGTAACAGGACCCCAAGAAATCTGAGGGGCTGAGAGGTTTAGAAAGCTGCCCAAAGTTATAAAACATGAGTGGTAGGGTTGGGATTTGAGTGGAGGCGGTCTGACTCAAAGCCCAGTATTCTTTCCCTTACGTTATGCCCCCTCTGAGAATAAGCCCCGTGGTCCAAAGGGGCCAAGCCTGTCACTTCCGTGAAGGTCCTTCCAGTTTAGGGTTCATGATACAGAAAAAAAAGATTGATTTTGTCTTATCAGGGTTATGGGGGCAGTTCAGCTCCCTGAGACTGGCCTTTCCTGAATCTTATAAGGTGTAGGGAGAAAACCTGGTTCTGTGCCTCCTGAAGGCAAGAGGGCCTCATCACTTAGCCTGGGAGACTTAGGCCAGAGACTTCCAAGGATCTCTGTACCTTAAGCCTCATCTTGTCCAACCTCTTTGCAATATCCCAGGGGCCTCTATTGAAAAACTATCAGTGTCTTCAGATATGTCTCAATGAAGTCCGTTCTATCGTTATACAGAGTTATTCTACAGAATGAAACTAGAGCTAAAATCTGTCTCTAGAGTTTCCACCCGCTTGTCCAACATCAAGCCCTTCCTCCGTGGGTCCTCTTCTCCATTCAGAGAGTAGAAGCAGTAAGGACACATGCTCCTTTTCAGGATGCATACCCGGGGTCTGTCGGTGGCTTCCGTTCTCCTCAATGAGCTTCCGTGGGTCTCCGACTTGCAGACCGCCAGACAGACTGGCACCGAGCCCTTGGATGATCGAGCAGCCCTCTCTGCAGTTAGGCTGAAGGAAGGGTGTGTGCTCTGGTCAAGCTCCAGCCTCTATAGCCTCTGACTATCAGACCTTCTGAGAAAGCCCCCTCCCATCAGACATCCCAAAGGCCTCCTCTCCATCCTCAACATCAGAGTCCCGGACCCTTGTGAGTCAGCACCCCTAGGAGCCTAAGTCTCTGGTAAGTGCTTAGCAAAGTGCCTGGGGAGGAGTGCCCACGGAGTATATGGTTCTATTATTACTATTATCAGTGTTGGTACCTGGCAACAGTATCTCAGGGTATTTAGCAGGAGCAGGAACTAAGGCTCACAAAACATAAATGGTGCTGATAAAGGAAATCTGGGTTCTCATCACAGTTCCACCATGCAAGATGAGAAGGAAGAGGAGGAGGAGGAAGAGAAAGATTTTTATACTAAGGGCCACAAGAGCAAGCACCAATTCTTCCATGCTTAGAACCACCAGACGCATTGAATTGAACACGTGCAACTACCCTGTGAGGTGGGTGCTATTATTTACTCCCATTTTATAGATGAGGAAACCAAAGCTTTGAGAGTTAGACACCTTGACAAGGTCACGTAACAGGTAAGCGATGGGATTCGAATCTTGGTAGCCCAAGAGTCCCTAAGCCCCTGCTATTAACCACGATGGAATATTTTCCTGTCGCTAACTTGCAGCGTGAGTTTGGGCAAGACACTTCCCCTCCCTGGGTCTCGATTCCCCCTTGCCCTGGGTTTTCATACTCCAGTAGGCCAAAGAATTGACTTGCGAAAGGCAGCAGAGGTTCCTGGAGAAGCCGAATCTCCCTCACTGGGTGCGCCAAGCTCCACCTTCCTGCATCTAAATTCCCTCCTGGCTGCCAGGGCAGCTCTCAGACTCATCTGAACATGCAAATCAGAATTAATTATTCAAGCCTGGGTCTACTTTGCATACCAATTCCATTTTCTTCTGTGTGGGAAGGTTCTCACCCCTTTTAACAGTTTAGAATAATGTGCATCAGACCTCAAAAATGAAAACAAAAGTTTAAAAAAAAAAAAACTGGAGGAAGAGGGATAAATTGGTTTCTTTTGCTGGTTGCTCCCCCTGGCCGGGGATGGGCATGGCTGGCTGGAAACCAGAAGGACAGAGGAGCCTGCAGGCTGGGATGCTCTCTGCCATTAATGGTGGACAAAGGGCTCGTCAATTTCCTGATCATGTATACCTTTGCGAATCTATGGAGTCTCTCTTCCGAAAACAAAAAAGGTGCAAATCTACAAAATGTGGTCTACAACCACAGAGTGTACCCTGAGAATGCTCAGCCCTGAACCCCTTGTTAGGAAGACAGGAATGGCTCAAATCAGAAATATTGTGGAGAGGAAGGCCCATGGGGTTCCTGGGTGTACAGGTGCATCAGTGAGACTTAAGGAAAGATGCCAGAGACATTGGCCCCCACATAGTCCAATATAGTTTACCTGAGATGCTTAAAGACCCTTGGGTCCTTCTCTGAGACCAAAGTGAACAAGGCCCGTTTCAAGGCACCAAAGCCTTGGTTGGCTAATGCAAGAGTATGTACTTAAGGGAAGATATCTTCAGGGGCCCTGAGTGGCTCAGTGGGTTAAGTGCCCAACTCTTGATTTCCACTTGGTCATGATCTCATGATCTGTGAGTTCAAGCCCTGCACCGGGTTCCATGCTGACTGTATGGAGTCCTCTTGGGATTCTCTCTCTCTCTGTCCCTCCCCTGCGTGTGCTCGCTCTCTCTCTCAAAATAAATAAACATAAAAAAAGACACATACCTTCAACCACATTTCCACAGAAGATGTAAAAATATTATTTCTAAATTACACTACTTCATTTGATCACAACTCTAAAAGTCACCACACAGAAACGAAGATGAGAGGAAAAGAAGTACAATTTGCATGAAAGTTATCGTTGAGTGTAACCATAGGTAATCTTTTTTCTTTTTGCTGATTTGCTACATTTTTCTCTTTATTTTCTACAATAAAAAGTGTTGCCTCATGAAGGAAAACACATAAAGTTTACACTAAAAATTACAAAGGAAGACCAAAGATTAATAGTCTCTGCCCATGGGGACAAGTGGACTGTATCACGGTATTAACAAATAAATAATAAAAGGCGGGTTAACTTGCAGGAATGGCCATGATGGCCTGAATGCGGGCAGAGGAGAGAAAGCAGGTCGGAGGAGAAAGAGAAGGATGAACCAAAAGCTCATAGAGAGGCAGAGAGAGCAGTGCCTATGCTGGCAATCCTCCCCATGAAAAAGAGAGAGAGCGAAAAAAAATCCCACCCTGGCTTCTGACTCCCTCAGGGGATCCTGCTGAGTTCTGTGACACAGATTTAATCTTTCCACACAATCCTCTCCTTGCCTAGGCAGGCTTAAGTGGGCTTGGTCTCACGTAACCAAATAGCACCGAAGACAGCTTGAGGCCAAACAGAATAAGAGTGTCTACTCTGTGACCAGGTGTCTGTGACATCCGGGTGAGTGCGGGTGACATCTGAGAAATTATGTGTAACATCTGCATGGGTGTGTTTGTGTAACAGGCCAAGTGTGTGTAACATCCAAGCGTTTGTGACATGTTGAGAAAGTGTGTGTGTGAGATCAAAGTAAGTGTATGTAGCCCTGGAATAAGTATGCATAGTTAGCTGGAGTCAATAAATGTTTAAATCTGTGACCTGTCAGTTGTAATTTCTATCAATTTCCCCTCCACAATCTGGGCTTACACTCAGCCCGAGGGTCTCATCTTTGCAAATCTCACCTGGGGCCGGGGCAGACGTTCTCTGGATGCTTTTCTGCCGGGGTCCACAGGCCTGCAGAGAGAAGGGCAGCCAGTCACGTTCACCCCCTCCCTGCTCCTCAGGCGATGTCAGCTGACTCTCCACAACCCCTTTGGAAAGCTGATGTTCAGGGCCAGGGGGCAGGTCCCCCTTGATCGTAGCATCAGGGCAGGATCTCATCCAATGCTCAAAGCAAACTTTAGGGGTAGTCAAGACAGAGATAATGATTCCTCCATCACAGACAAGTAAAACTGAGGTCCACGGTGATCAAAAGGCTCGTCCAACTCACATGGGTTAGGAGCAGTGAAGATTTGAACTCAATTCTCTTGACTCCACAGCCTGTGTTTTTCCCAAAATGTCACACTCCTCCCAGCTAGACCCAGCCCTAATCTGGTCTCTGTTCACTTCCTGTCTCCCATCAAGAGCCCCCCAAGACGGGCATCTGCTTCAACAGCAGGAGTGACATCAGACCCCACTTGCCAGTGGCTTTGAGCCCACAAGTGTAGGGATTGACACAGGGAAAACGGACACTGAGCCTAAAACTGTGCAAACGTACACCTGAGCAGTGCTGGGAAGGCAGATTCATTCTGCTGGTTTCCTGGCATTGATCTTCCTTGGAGTACTGATGACATAGAATTGCTGCATCACAAAGCCCCATTAAAAATGTTTTGCCAAGGCTGAAGCAGAATCCAGAAAGTCCAGGAGATTTGGCCTGGTTGAACCCTTCCTGTAACGGGGGTATGTTTCTAAAGCTCTACTGTAGCAGCATCCAAAGGGTGCTAGAAAGGCATCTCACTTGGCCAAGGCCTAGAAGAAGAATGTATTATTTCACTAGGTGCCAAGGCTACTAGGCTGTGTGGCCCTGGGGGGCTGGCCTTGTTTCGTGCTGCTTCCTTCCCGATGAGACCGGCCCAGCCTGTGAGGGCTATCTGCAGTAACCAGTGAAATTGTGTGGTTAACTCCTATGCCATCCTTAAACGATGTCTGCCTTTCCAAGAAGTGAATTCCTTCACTTGGGCTTGAAATTCCAATGGGATGTGCCATCTGGAGGGAAACCTCTGTTTCCAACCCCCTCCCCACCCGGGGATCAGACAGAACATTACCTTTCCTTGACGCCTCACTGTGAACAAAGCCATCAGAGCCTTTCTTGAGAGCAGGATTTTATGGGAAGCACGTGGGGAGCATAGAAGGGACCTGGCTGAGTTCGGGGAGAGGTGAAGAATGTGTAAATGCAAAGACAGTGAGCTAAAGTCCAGAAAACTGTACCGATGCTGCAATTTGCAGAAGGCCTATCCGCTCACGCCCCAAGTGGAGATCCTTGTGTCTGAGCACCGATGAAATGACCGCTGCATGTTTCACATGCGGTGCTGTGGGCACTTCATATCCATGACCTCTCTTAATTTCTTGTCCTTCAGGTCTTGGGCTCACTAGTTTGCACCAATAAAGGAATTCATGGGCTGAAAGATGAACAAAATGGCTAAGATTGACGGGCGAGATAGCGACTCAATAAAAAGGAAGAGAATGGCCCAGGGGTGCCCCTGACGTTAGTTTTGAAAACATTTTCTGCCCATATTCTCCATAAACTATTTTCAGTGGATCAATTTTTATCCTGGTTGTCTTTTCCCTACTCGGCTAGGAAACCGTCGCATGAAAAAATGGTAGATTTCTGTTAGAAATAGAAGGCGAAATCACAAGCACCACTATTAATGAGGTGATTTAAAAATATATATATTCAATCAAGAGTAATTGGGGCTGAGCATAGTAAGTCATGGAAAATTATAAGCTCTGCCCACTCTAGGGCATGACTGGCTATTAAAATCTTTTTCACACCATTGCCTACAAAAAGCAGCTGGGCATCATGCCACTGGGAAGGTGGCAGCAGAATGGCCTCATTCCCTAAACAGGCTTGCAAAAAAGAGGACAATCAGTTGGATTGCTGAATCAAACTTAACCCTTCTTATGCCACGTCAAGTGGATTTTTGACAAAGAGCAGTCAAGAGTTAACGCTTCGAGAGTGAGCTAGGCAATGGCTTTTCATGTGAGAAACATTTGTTGAATGTGCTCATTGAATACCCCCATGCCCTTTCCATCCTAGTAATCCCACTTCCTTTCATTGTCAAAACAAATAGACGTATCCCGTCTTAGTCTCCTTTCTTCATAAAGGCTGGAACTGGAGTTCAGAGAAGCCAGGGTGCAGCCCAAGATCACATAGTCAATCTGTGCCACGCTGAACTTGTATATTTTGATTCTGCCCCGACAGCTGTTCTCGTGACCCACAGACACCCTCCTTCCTTGTTCTGCATCCCCAGCCATGGGTTGATAAAGACCAACAAACTTCAGTTAACCAGAACTCCTGGTATTTTCTTTAATGTTCCCCATTTTAGTTAGAATTAAAGAGAAAACCCTTCCAATTCCACTTTGGGACTTGATAAATTTGGAACTATATCTGGGTATCTTTTCCGTATTCACCTGTACAAAGAACATGGCGAATTAGAGTCTTTCTAGGAAGGAAATACTTGCACGAATAATCCTCTTTGAACATATTTCTCACCACCCAGGACTATGAGTGGTTGGAGTCCCTGAATCCCTGGAGGTCCAAGTTCCCTTAACTGGCCCCTGCCTTCCTGCCCCTCCTTCCTTTTGCTCCCCTTCCATATTACAGCCTAAGACCCAGAAAGAGGCAGGGACTTGGCTGACTTAAATATGGGCTGATCCTAGCATGTACTTTTTCTTTCTTGCTAATAAATCCATCAGATGAGGCTGCTTCACTGTGTTGTACTCCATATTTTTAAAATAAGCAGAAGGAAAACAAAAATACTATTTCAATGAAGAGTTTAATTAGCTGGGATCTGTTTTGTCAAGGTTAGAGGTCATGCTGGATGACGGAAAGAACTCCTAACCAAGAGTTGGTTAACAAAGGTTGTAGCCTCAAATTCACTATTACAGGTGTAACCATGGGACATTTATTGAACCTCTCTGAGTATCAGTGTCTTCAACTTCAGGTGGAACTAATGATACTTACCTACTTTGCAAGATGGTTGTGAAGCTCATATAACGAGTATGAAAGTATTTGGAACATTGAGATGGGCCTTGTGCTTGTGACTTGGCCCAATAGAATCCCAACCTCTGATACATGTAATTGAAGCACTACCAGGACCATAAATGGAATAGCATGAAAAGAGCAAAGGCTTTGAGATCAGACTGGTGCTGGTTCAAATGTTGAAAGTACCACTCGCTAGTTGAATGCCCGTGAACAAATTAATTATGCCTGTGGAGTCTCACTTTTGAAAAACTAAGCAATTGAAAAAAGCAATACTTTTCTCACTGAGTTCTGAAAAGGATGACAATGGTGTGCCGGTAAATGTTCAACAACCAGCTTTCCGAACTCAAAAAGCCCTGGCTGATAGGCTCCCGTCGTGTAAATTCTCTCACCCCAGCCGCTTCAAGTTGCCAACATGGCGTCGCTGGATGCCGAATGCGTCCGCTTGGCTCTTGCAAGCCAGCCTGAGCCAGCGCCAGCCCACCTCTCATATTAGATGAGTTAATGAATGTGAAGACCCAGGACAGCTTTCCCATTTACCAGAAAAATCACAAATGTACATTGGCTTTATTTTGCTTGGGCCCTGTCTTCCAAGTCCCAGAATCTGAGGCAGACACTGAGGTGAGCTGCGGAGGGGAAATCGGTAAGTACTTTCATTCCTGGAATAAAGGAAATGGAGGTGATAACTGGAGGGAAGGAGCATCCTGGTGCTGAGGTGAGAACCAGGTACCAGAGGAAGATAACCAGCAGGAGAAAGAGGTCTCCTTCCTCCAAGCCCTGGATACAGTGAAGGACTGGAATTCATACCCAGACCAGCCTTGGTATCACCCAGATCTTGTTCATTCCACCATCACCTAGGTAACCGGGGCAGTGTGGGCTTAGTTGCCTGGCAACAATGCCCATCTCTCTACTCCTGTACACACCCTCAGGCCCTCACCCCTGTGACATTCCCTCCCCACAGGCCACTGCCTGTCCCAGCAACACGACTCTCTACTGCCACTCCAAGCCCCTGGCTAAGCCAGTCCCAGGGCCCCCTTAACTGGAGTGCACCTGCCCAGAAATCCGTAAATCTGCTAGTTCTCCTAGAAGAAAAGCACCAGAGACGAAGAGTCCAGATCAAGAGCCAGGGGCCTTAGAGTCCAGTCTCAGCTCCACAGAGGACCAGCTGCCGCAAGACCTCGGGCAGGTTGCTTGACTTCTCTGAGTTTTTGTTTCTTCATCCCCCAAATGGAGATTTCCCTCTCATCTGCACAATCGGGATTTTCCTTCATCTGCAAAATGAGGGATTACAACACTTGCTAGGCCAATCCACACAGTTATCCTCGGCCCGTGTGTGAAGAATCCTCTGACGCACATCGAGTGCAAGGGGAGATGAGGTGATTATTATAATCGCCTGCAATGCTGGCATTACATGGGCTTCCAGCCTCTCCAGAGTTCCCCAAAGCTAGGCTGAGGCCTTGGCACCAGGAAACCAAGGCTATGAGTGAAGCCGAACCTCTTCCAGGACAAAGCAGGTGACATGTTCTAATGGATTCTGAAGAGGGTTTGTGTTCCTGCCCTTAACCAGTGTAGCGCCATTTGTACAGGCGGCCCGGAAGCCCGCCCAACGGCTCGGGCTCTCCGAGAGGAAAATTGGCAGCTCCGGGAAGTGAGCAGCTCTCAGGTCGGACTTGATTAGGGACCAATTTGGGCCTGTTAGCCGAGCCTCCAGTATCATCTCGGCCAATTACTGGCCCAGCCTGGCCTGCAGCTGGCTGTTCCTTCCAAGCTGGACACTTTTATTTCCAGCAGAGCTCTCCCTGCGCCTGAGGCAAGAGACCGGGGTGACTGTAGCCCATTAACAAGATGGAGAGAGAAATAACTCACTCTGTTAAGGTAACGGTGTGGGTGGGGCTGGAGCTGGAGCTTTAATTAAAAAAAAAAAAAAAAAAAAAGCCTCAATAAACAGTCTTGTGCCTCGCGTGTAATAAGTATGGGAATTTATAAACTCTCCCAGCTACGGGGCTCTGATGGCTATTAAACCTCGCGTCTGGCAGAGGAATTTTGGCCTTATGGGCAAACTGTGTTCTTCACCCCTGCCAAGCCAAACAGGCTGGCAACAGGAGGGAGGTGGGTGGGATCCTCTGAGACTGCCCCCCAACCCTTCAAGAACTTCTGGGGTCAGGCTATCCCCCAAATTGTGCTGGCCCTCAGGAAAGCCAGAATCTGTCAAAAGGCTCTCCTATCCTGCCCCTTCCCCTGCCTCTGCAGGAACCTGGAACTCATTCCTGCCTCCCTCCAGCTAAGGCATTGCTCCCAGGAATGCAAACAAGAAGGGTCAAACTCAGAATAATGGGTTCGTTGCCCACCCCCCCACTACCCGGAGCTGGTGCGACCTTGTATATTTAACAATCCTCACCATGGCATTCAAAGTCCCCCCCACCATCCAACGCTTTCTTACCATTCCCTGCCACTCTGCTTCCGACTTATCCTTCATGCGCTCATCGTATTGTCTCTTGCCTTTGGACCTCTGCTTTTGCTGTTCCTTCGGCCTCAAGACCTACTTCCTCCTATGCTTGCTTGGCATAGCGTGGTCTTACAGGGTGGACCCTCAGGCCAACCTAAACTTGGAATCCCCACTCACCAGCTGTTTCACCTTGGGTGTAAGTTTAGCCTATTTAATACCTCAACCTCTCCAATGATGAAATGGAGATTATGACACCTACATCACAGGGCAACTGTAAAGATTGAGAACGTGTGTGTGTGTGTGTGTGTGTGTGTGTGTGTGTTGTGTTTGGCACACAGTATGCATTCCATAGCTATTTGTTGCTGTAGAAGTCGGCAAACTATGGCCTGCAGGCTGATTCCATCTACTTGTTTATGTATGAATAAATAAAGTTTTATTGGAGCACAGCGTCGGCCACACCCATTTGCTCATATATTGTCTATGACTTCTCCCTGCTCCAGTGGCAGGGTTGAGCAGTTGTGATAGCAGCTGTATGGCCCCCAAAGCCCAAATAATATACTATCTGCAGCCTTACAGAACAATTGTGCTGAGTCCTTCTTTAACAGCTAATGAAGATGCTGACTCTAACTCCCTCCCCACACACACACACAACCCCAGGCTGCATCCTTTCTGTGCTTACGGCCACCCCTCCTTTTCCCTTTACACGCTTAGCATTGCCATGTTCTGCTGGGGTGTCTGCCTCCACCAGTGGACTGTGAGCCCTTCGAGGGAAGGAGCCACTTTGTCTTCATTTGTTTTTCTCCCACAGGTCATACTGAACAAATTATGAATGACGGATGAACGAGGAAGTGACCATTCCTTGAGCCCCAGAGAGACTCAAACACAAGGCCAGTTAGCTGAACAATGCCGCCCCATTTGGGATGAAGCAGACCCAGCTTACTGAGTTGGGGCTGCTGGACATTTACAGAAAAAACCTTAGCCTTGTCTGATTTTTCTCCATGCTTTCCCAAGACAGAGCCATTTCCAATTTAAAAAGCGTCAAAAACATGAGGCAGTGAGGGAGAAGAAAGAAGCACCTTGATATCCACACAGAAGTTTTCAGTATTATTAGTGCTAAGTGTTACAAACGCTCATTTTTCCTTCGTCATCACCATTAGCTAACCTTAGTAGAGTGCTAGTTATTCACATGAGGTTTGAGGGAGTGGGTGGTGATGAGGCAGGAAGGGAGCTGGCGACCCAAGAAACACAATGGGAAATTAACACTGGGACGATGTTATTACGGCAATTGCCGAGTCGTAAGTAGGCTAAGCAAATAGAAAGTTGGTCAAGTCTGAGGTTTTCTAGAACTTTCTTCCGCCTAGACTTTAGTCAAGAAAAGGGGAATATCTAAGCTTAAAGATAAAAGCGATAGGAGAAAAGATGAACACATTCAGACAAGCAGACACTACTAGTTCACAGCCTTGAAAGAAATTATTCCTTTGACACCAGATATGGAAAATTCTCTATGCCTCATAGAGGGAAGGAGGGGATTTAGTGGGGGAACTAAATACACGGGGAAACAAATACAGATAAAAAAGAAGCCTCCGTCCCTGCCTTCAGGGAGTCCATCGTCTAATGAGAGGTTAAAACCAGTAGGACTGTAATCGTCCTTATAAACCTGAGTGAAAACCCAACCGACAATGTGTACAATGAACCCCAGAGACTCAATCAGTTCCTATTACTGTGAAATCTCAGGTTAACCAAAGATTCCCAGCCAGTGACGCACTGACTGTAAGCAATATTTGAAACAATAAAACCTCCTGTAACAGGAAAAGAATTCAAAGAAGCCCTTGGGATCTTTGTAAAAAGGTTTGGCCTATTTAAACACTTGCTGCATAATTGAGTACTCCAGCACACTGGGCAAAAGATTAGGTGAGATGTAACTTTGACAAAGTTACCAAGAGGACCAAGGGCAGCAAAAATCCCAGAACTGAAAGGCACCACAAAGTCAGTATCTTCTCCTTTGGATTCCTTGAGACGTTTCTAGATATTTTACCTAGAAATTGTCACATAGGTGTTTTTACACTAGAATAATTTGTGTGTTCTTATGTAGTATGACTCTTAGAAAGGAATAGACTTCTGGCATTTCTAAACATCTTACATGTGTTTGATCAGGAAACATGTTTTCTAGACTACCATCCCGCTCTCATGCTCTGTGTGGACAGTGATCAAGGTGTTGATAGTATTGTGAGCTTTTTGAGTAAAGAGTGACTCATCTCTTTTGGTATTGCTGGTGCCCAGGACATACCCTGGCCATAACCTGGTACTTTCTAACATTAGAAATGTTAGTGGGTTGGAACCAGCCTATGGTCAAGAAGCTGATGTTCTGAGCTTAAGTCACAGATATATCATAGCCCCAGGCCACCATCGACTTTCTGTAGCACAGAGAAGGCACAGGGAAGTTCAAAATAGCTTCTCCAATCTCCAGACTCCAATGGAACTCAGTTTAGAACAAAATGTTTCCCAAAAACTTATATAGCTTGTCCCATCAGCGTCCAGTAAAGGCTACTCATCCTTAAGAGATTATTGAGTCAGATTCTTCTGAAATGGCCAGGGCCCACAGACCCTCTCCAGCTCACGACTCCCCAGAAGTAGCCATTACACAAGGAGAGTGTCATGTGTCAACTTCATCCGAAGTTAGCAGATTTTCTTGACTGCTAACACTTTAGAGAATGTTTTAGCAGAAATACTTGGGGCAGATATAAATAAGTTTCTAATAATCTCATTAACAAATTTCTATAACATTCTTACTATCAAGTGCCTGGAGATCATAGAAATTATTTTATTGGCTACATTAATTTCCTCTTGAAACCTCTCAACATATCAATTTGAAATACATCGTCTGAATTCTGCAGTTTCATTTCAATATGTTAATAATCATAGGTAAACAAACCCAAGGCTGAAATTGTCTACGAAGAATGGAGGGCAGCTTGTTGGATGTTCACAAACACAATGTAGGATAATTATACACTAAAACACTTAAACTTGCTAGCACACAGAAAATTTACAAAGATCAATTGCTCGTAAAAAAAAAAAAAAAAGAAAAAGAAAAAAATTAATCAAATGAGAGAGTTATCTAGCAAATGGTTAGAAAACTTGATGGGAATTCCTTTGATAACACCATTTTGATTTGATTAGTTGTACTATTTTTATATCTTTAGTAAAGAGAATTTGATTATACCGCTGAGCTCCTTTTCTGCAGAAATATTACAAAGCCATTAGTGGCTCAGAAGAAAGTGTAGAAGGAGGATTCAAATACATTTTTAAAATTACAACCTACTCCGCTCTCTTCTCCTTGTTTTCTTTTTTTCTTTTTTTAAAGTGATATTAGTTTGTGAAGGCTGCCATAACACATCACCACAGACTGGGTGAGAGATTTATTTTCTCACAGTTCCGGAGGCCAGAAGTCAGTAATCAAAATATTGGCAGGGTCGCTTACTTCTGAGGCCTCTGCTTGGCTGGTACGTGTCTCTCCCGGTGTCTTCAAATGGCCTTCTCTCTGCATCTACCTGTGTCCAAATTTCCTCTTCTTATAAGGACACCGGCCATATTGGATTAGGGCCCACCCTAGCGACCTCATTTCAATGTGATTACCTCTTTAAAGACCCCACTCCAAATATAGTCACATGCTAAAGTACTAGAAGCTAGGACTTCAAAATAGGAAACTGGTGGTGGGGTAGGGGGTGGTGAGGGACACAATTAAGCCCATAACATTGGTAGATATTAACCTTTTCTTCCTCTATTTTTTAAAGAAGAGAATATCACTGCCTTAAAATTTTTCCTCTTAAATGTTCACATTTACACTCCCCGAATCTGTCACCAGTATCAAATTACAAATATTTCTATTGCCGTTTAAAAATTTTTGTAACTGGACACTTGTACCTCTTAATCCCCTATTTCTATAGACCTTTATCTCCTAAATTTCTCTTTTATTTCTCTGCTTCAAGTCCTCATCATCCCTCACTCAGATTCTTGCAGCAGCTTTTTCCCTGACTTCTACCAACATCCAGCTCCCAGAATGATCTTTCTACATAAAAATCTTATAGCCACGTCTATTTATTTTTTTTTAATTTTTTTTTCAACGTTTATTTATTTTTGGGACAGAGAGAGACAGAGCATGAACGGGCGAGGGGCAGAGAGAGAGGGAGACACAGAATCGGAAACAGGGTCCAGGCTCCGAGCCATCAGCCCAGAGCCCGACGCGGGGCTCGAACTCACGGACCGCGAGATCGTGACCTGGCTGAAGTCGGACGCTTAACCGACTGCGCCACCCAGGCGCCCCCAGGTTTTAATCCTAGTAGCCTGGCCAAACAACGCACAATGAATTCATTTGGATCTTCTATGTTGTTTTGGTTGTATCATCTAGTTTATAGTTCACAGTGACATCCCTTTTCTTTCTTTTTTTTTTTTTTCAACGTTTATTTATTTTTGGGACAGAGAGAGACAGAGCATGAACGGGGGAGGGGCAGAGAGAGAGGGAGACACAGAATCGGAAACAGGCTCCAGGCTCTGAGCCATCAGCCCAGAGCCCGACGCGGGGCTCGAACTCCCGGACCGCGAGATCGCGACCTGGCTGAAGTCGGACGCTCAACCGACTGCGCCACCCAGGCGCCCCGCTATACTACCTTTTCAAGTGCATGTCCTTTCCCCACCTCACCATTCCCTCTACTCCATTTCATCACCCCTATTCCCCTGGCATGTCAGGCTGTCTTATACTTCAGTGACTTTTTAATATGTTTTTCCCACTACTCCTGAATTATCTTTCTCCACACTTTTTGAACGGCAAACTCCTATTCATCCTTTAAAACCCATATCAAACATCACCTCTTTTATGAAGTTTTCCCTACCCATCAAGACATGGCTCCTTTCAATTCTGGATCCCCACAGTTCTTTGTTTATGCTTCAATCTCAGCTTGTAACTTCTTTCATCTTGATTATTTTTTATGTTCCTTTCACTATTCTGTGGAAACTTCAAAGGCTATATCAGGATCTTAGGAGTTAAAAAGCCCATGAGAAGTTGTCCCTCTCTGCTGGTGTGGTATCCTTGCTATAGGGCAGAGTGGGAAGATTAAAGGAAGTCTTTAGAACACAGACTCAGTCCCCCTTCTGTAGGGCAAGGTTTTTTTGGCCCCCCTCACCCTTGCCTCAGGCTAAGCCAGGTCCTTCTTCTATTATCTGGCTGTGCCCTCCTGCCAGCCTCCTTCTTGAGACTGTTTTTTTTTTTCCCATGGGGCAGGATCCATGCATGCCCAATGTGTTCTCCATTACACCTCCAGGACTCATCACTGTAGGCAGTCAGGTGTTTCTTGAATAAATGAATGAGTGAGTAAAGTGCCCAGCCTAGAGCCTGGCCCACCACAGTCTCTAGTCTTCCCTTCTGGTATTATAAAATCTGAATAGTCCACACTCTGTTCTGTACCTTAAAAAATCCCCGCCCTCTCCCGGAGACCCTAGAAGAAATCACATCACTCCTCTTATTCAGATTGATTTTGAAACATTTCCACCAGAGACCATTCTTCTGAGGCTGGAGGAAGTTCTGGCTCATGCCCCATAATGGACTGTGACATTTCTTTATAGCTCTTCCAGGAAGGACCCCTTGCAGGACTGTTAAGAAGACTATGGACAAGAATATATGCAGGAGAATAAAAAAAGGACCAGAAGGAAATATAATAACATGTTAACACTGACTTTCTCAGGATGGTAGGACAATGTGAGATACCCTTCTCCATACTTTTCTGTAGTTTAAAAATTTTTCAATAGCCAACATACCTTGTGTTTATAGTAATAAAACAGTATTTAAAAAAAGAAAAGGAAAGTCCTGGTATGTCTGCGATGATGTGTGAGTAAATCTCAGAGTGCTTTTCATCACTGACATACACAACATAATCCCACACCCTTAGAAAGTAAGCTCTTATTGGACAGCTGAGTGGGATGCAAAGGGGGTACAAAGGACCTCGGGTCAATCTCCTTCAAGCTCATGGGTTACCCATCTGACTGGGGACAGATCAGAATCTGAACACCTGGGCCAAATAAGCCCTCAAGGGTCTCCATGCCCAGGAAAGCTCCCTGAGCCTTCGGATGAAGGTCACAGAGCTTCTGGAAGCTAAAAGAGTTCTCAGAATCCCTGCAAATATTTGAGAACACTTTTCCTGGCCTCCGCGCTCAAGTTGTTTTGTTTTGTTTCATTTCATGTTTGCCACATTACACTCCTTCCCTTGCTTCAACCAACCTCATTCATACGATCTTATTTCCATCACTGGTTACTTTCATCGGCCACAGCTCCCCAATTTCAACTATCACTCCTAAAATATACCTCCCGATCTGTCTTAACCGCGACAGGCTGTATCAGGGCCATCACTTCTCATGCTCAGAACGCCATGCACTCATTAATCTTGAGATCCAGCTATAGTGAAGAGGTTAAGAGCAGAGGGTCTGGAACCAGAATGCCTGATTCAAACCCCAGCTCTGCCACTGTGTGACATTGACCAAGCTCTTGGGCATCTCTGTGCCTCAGAGCAAATGGTGATAATGATATACCTAACCCAGCGAGTATCTAGGAGGATTAATGAGGTTCATCCATGGAAAGTCTTTAGAACACTTCCCGGCGCACAGAGGGTGATGCCAGTATTAACACTCAGTATGACTGAAGCCGCACGGTGTCCATTTAGGTTGTTTTTGTGAGGAGACAGGAGTTGACCTGCTAAACCTCCACACTGACTGATATGAAAATTAAAGTCAAACCCCTTCAGATCTTGGACTTTCCCCATATTAGAATTA